TGTTAATTAGAGCAGTATGCAAATTCTGGAGCTTCTTCTCTCTGCATTTAATGTAAATTTTTGATCTAATTGTCCCACTTTCTCCTGTCATTTGTCGTAAATTACCGACCCTTTCGATAAAGGGATTCACTCATCCAAGTGCCACGTTGTGGAGGAAAATGATTGTCTGTGTGCTATTTGCATATACTTCACTGAACTGTTATCACAATAATGCCTTACTGCTAAAGCAAAATACGCATTTTAACAAAAGAAATGCCTGTACTGTTTCTGTTTATGATTTAACCCTTCTGAGCTGTTTATACAGCCCTGTTAGGAGGGCATTACGAGCGAACCCATTTCACAAATCCCTTTAATGAATACTCAGTGTGGTCGATAGCTCCTGCTCCTTTTATAGGTTGTCGTGTGATGTATAATTAATATTGAAAATATCCCATATTGACAATACATGATTATGTCTGGTTGCCTATAAGGCACTGAAAGCATGCGTTGGGGCTGTGGAAGGTCTAGTAGTTGCTGACCTACACGTATAGAACCAATATTACCTTAGCTTCTGCAATTAGCTTCACGCCACACTCTGCACAGCCAGAGCTTGCAAGCTGTCACTGTACAGATCCCTGTGAGTGTCTCTTTGCATATTTTTTCACCGGTGCTTTAACTTTTTTTCCTTTTTTCTTACACTTGCCTCAGCCCCTGACACATTCTTGTTTATTCTGAGGAGGGGGGGAGTAAAACTCGCAGGCTTTCCAGGCTAGCCTGCTGCTTGTGCTGCTGCTTTGCTGCCTCTTGCCCAAGTTCTGCAGCTCAGGACGGCGTGGCACTGACAGCCCGGTGGAACAGAGCCTCCTGCGTAACCCCAGTGTTCACTGCACCCCACCCTACACACACCGTGATCACAGCCGTCCATGCTTCCCTTCCAAAATCCCTGTCGTGGATTTCCTTTTTATTGATGGATTTGTAATGTTGGGGGCTTTTTTTTCTGTTAAAAATGTATGCTTCTACGTGTACATTTAAATACGTAATTAAATTCTCACTGTGGAAAACAAACAGATGTTATGCTTTGTGCACTACAGGTTGTTGCATTACTTATTTTCTGCTTTCCTAACAATTCCTGATTTTTCTATTTTGCTTCCGTTTTTGTTGCTTCTTGCTATTTGCTTGCAAAAAACAAAACAGGCAAGCCTGGTAAGTAAAGCTTTTCACCAACTTTCACACCAGCATTTTGCATTTTTCTTTTCTTTTGTGTTTGTTCTCCGTTTGCTGCATTCCCATTAAGTAACGTCAGTCGTACTGAGCTGAGCCTGAAAGCGGATCTGCTGTGGTGGTGCTCTGATTCTGTCAATTTGGATAGTGTTAGTCCTGAGCATCCTGTTGTTATTGTTGGTGAGCTGTGGACAGTGTGTGTTGCGGATGTGGAAGCCATTTAATTTAAATATTTTAATCACGTAACCTCATAAATAAATTTAGAAATAAGTATCTTTAATTGCCTGACTAAGATTTGACTGGCGGACTGTTATCAGCACAACTCTACTAATCAGCTTTTTCATTTTAAAGCTCAATCATTGTTTTAGAAAAATACCACATGGATATTCCAGTCCCTGTCCAGCCAGATGCCAGTTTCTGTTTTTCACAGTATTTAACCACTTTGGTTTAAAATGCATTGTAAGTGCTGTCTGAGATGATCAGATGCCCCTTCCCTAAAGCTCACAGGAAACTTTCTCTCTTTGCAATTTCTTTTGAACGATGCACTGGGAGGTAGGGAAGAGTGAGTTGTGAGGGAGTGAGTCAGGAATTACTAACTTTGTAGATTGCCCTAGAAACAAATAAGAAGGAAGTTGCTAAAATACCGCAGACAGCAGTCTTAGGAAAAGTAAAGTTGTGAGATTAACTACACATTGAAGTACATTACGTGATCGTGCAAATGGATCCCTTCCCCTGCATGGAGTTGCGGTGACGGAGGTTTTGCCAAAGAGGAGGATCCTGCCAGTAAGTGATTTGGAATTAGCCTAGAGAGTGTGTACCATCCAGCGTGGTTAAACAAATCGTGTGCTGGAACAAAAGGTGACAGCTTCTCAGCTTTAAAAAATAAGCAAAGGATGGTAGATCAAGGAGTTTCTCCTCTTGCTTGAGCATACATTTATTTTGACATTACAGATGATCACCAAGGGTCATTAAGAAGGCAAAATAGAAAAGAATGTTTATTTTTGATGAAGCATTAAATGTTATCAAATTGATGTGGCTTTACAGGGCTCTGGGTTTCTCAGTTCTGCCATATCAAAGGTGTTTGTTTAGTAGTAAAATAAAGGTGTCACAACTTCCAGTGCTGCAGACCCAGTGCAGGTCCTGAGAGCTGCTCTGGTTCTTTCCATCTTCTGCATCATACAGAGCAAAATAACCTCCGGTCAGGGTCTGTCCCAGCAAGATGCTGTCAGGGGGTGTGCGGAGAAGCGCAGAACATAGCCAGCATGAGCTGATGCACGGCATGGCATTGTCACTGCTCTGGGCTTAGGCTAGCAAAATAGGTATAAAAGGATTGAATATGCAAAAGGAAGCTATGAATCCCCATCTGGGAATTGACAGGATCAACTTTGACATTTCACAGCTGACCAGCATATGGAATACTTAATTCAGATGAAGACTTCTATTCAAATAAAAAAAATAAAACACTTGTTTAGGTCTTTATATTTCCAATTATATAGGCCTGAGTAAAATGTTGTAGATTCTGAAATGTCCCATTCTTTTTACATGGAAGAACTTCCTACCTGATTTCAGTTTCCATCATAGACAAAGGAGGATCATAATATAACACCGCTGTTTTGCGGGTTGGTTTTTATTTGAGTATCATTCAAAGTAGCCCTTAAAACATGGCCACAAGAATCATATTTTAGGATATGAAGCAAACAATGAAGCATTTTGGAAGACAATGCCAGACCTTTTTTTCCAGTGTTATGCGGATATTCCAGTTTAGTACTAGGTCAATTCCTTTGAAAAGTTCTCTTCCACATGGATTTGGGTTCGTGTTATATTCTTCCCACCATCCCTGCCTCAAATTCAGCTATACCCAGGAGAAGCTTGGAAGACGTTTTCTGCAGAACAGAATTTAGAAAGTCTAATCTTAGATTTCGTTTCTGGCACTTGCTACAATAATCCTAAGAATGAGTGTTTGCAGAACAGTGTTTTTCCAAGGGAAGAATTAGAGTTGAATTCCATTAAACAAAGTGCTTGTTTGTACAGGATTAGAAGAGGTGCCAGCAGATGACAAGCAGATATCAGCAATGGCAAATAATTTATTCCTAGAGATAGTAATATGCGTAAATGTCCTTTCCATCAGCTAGTGCATCTTTGGGCAAACAAGGGAATCCAACACTTGCTTTCTTCATGGGAATGGCTGAGTCCAAACTGAAATAAATCGTTTGTACAGAGATATGTTCACATTTTTCCCCAACATCAAAATATTTAAATATTACTATATTTAGCATCCTTTTTCCAAAGCAGGATTATATAAATATGCATAATATTTATATTAAAATGACTTTTCTGGACCCCACAAACTTACTAATACGCAGCATAGAGCACACTGTAGTAGAAACTATAGATGACAGTGAAATCAGCATTCTTAACTACTGTTACCCTTCTGAAAACTGCCTTTTTTTCCTCCCCCTCTCTTCTTTCTAACAGAGGATGAACAGCGAGAGAAATCTGTCTCCCATCACACTGTTCAGCAGCTGATAGTGGAGAAGGAACAAGCTTTGGCAGATCTGAACTCAGTGGAGAAATCACTGGCAGATCTTTTCAGGAGATACGAGAAAATGAAAGAAGTGTTGGAGGGGTTTCGGAAGGTGAGTTACATTGAAGTCTCCTCCTTTAAAGACAAAAACTGAGCAGGCTCATGTACTGGTACACTAGTGCTGTTCCCAGTCGAATCTGCTGTACTGCATTAGGCAGCAGCGTGCTGGCGGGAGGGAGGACATGAATGCTCATTTGTGTTTTCTTTTTGGCTTAAAAAAGATGGAGTTCTTGCACAAGAATAACTAGCTGCAACACTGCAATTTCACTAGCTGTCACACAGCTGTTGGACTGGAGCACGTGTCAGGGCTGGCTTCTGGACTGAGCGTTCTGTTAAAACCTAGGACGTGAATTCCTCAGGTCAGAGATTATGTCTGAAGTGTGTGACATAACACAATCCTCACGTGAAGGTTTGCAGCCATTTATCAAATGCAAACAGAAGAATTGTAAAGCTTTTTGCATTGGGTAATATTGCTTCAGATAGCCTCTGTGTGGGGGTGTCCATGTTAGACTGCAGCCCTTAAAATATCTAAATGTGACTCCCACAGATAGGTGCCTGTCCTACACTTCACTCTTGCATTAAATTTAATGTCATCTTTTCATTTAAGAATGAAGAAGTGTTAAAGAAATGCGCGCAGGAATATTTATCCCGAGTAAAGAAGGAAGAGCAGAGGTATCAAGCACTCAAAATTCATGCTGAGGAAAAACTGGACAGGTAATTGACTGTAGAGATCTCATTTCAGGAATTCATGCTGCAGGAAGGTTCCTGTGTCTGGACCTTGCATCCCAAACCTGCTCCTTCAATCTGCTGAGCACAGGCTGCTCTGTGATGGAGGGTGGAATAAAACGCCGTAATGAGAATTTCAGTAACGTGCTGGCGTTTCTTCCAGCTCCTGGACATACAGAAGACCTTAAATTTCTGTCTTTCTCAAACGTCTTCGTGTTTCTTTAATGTATTTTCCAGGGAAGATAAGAAAGAAGCTGTTAGATAGGTTTATGCAGCTATGGAGGGCTGTGCTCAGATATTTGCACCTGCAGCTAGTATTCTTGTCCCCGGAGGTTTGCCAGTGCCCCTGTGCTGCATTACTGCCCCTGCATCAGTCAGCAGAGCAGAACATGTCGGTGCTGCTCAGCTGTCTCAGTGCACAACCAGGCAGTCTCTCCCTGGTAACACTGGTTATCTAAACTGGATCAGTCCAACTTGTGCCAAAGGTGATGAGGAATAGATACACAAAAAATTGTGTGCCAGATGTGCAGGGAGAGTAACTCCTTAAACCACCATTAAGGAGCAAACATCAGATTGCAGTTAAAGAGAGGCAGCAGAGGTTGATTTTTTTTTTTTTTTTTTCCTATTCTTACATGTAATGACCAATTAAGCATTTCTAGGGATTACATTCGGGACTCATGTTACAGCCCCCTACACCCAAGAGATGTTTCGAAAACATCACTAGGATTGATCCGTGCCTATAACAAAGTAAGAGTTGGTTTGCTTTCCAGCTGTTGTCGCAGCTGTGAGTCTAGTCTGTAAGAACTGGAGATCAGGTTTAGAAACCGCCATAAACCACTTGTGACTTGCGATACTTGTGACCCCAGCACAATATCTGAGAGAAGTATGAAGGGAACAACACAGACATTTCAAGGCCAGGCTGGATGGGGCTTTGAGCAACCTGGGCTGGTGGGAGGTGTCCCTGCCCGTGGCAGGGGGGTTGGAACTGGATGATCGTTAAGGTCCCTTCCAACCGAAACGAGTCTGTGATTAAGAAAAGACTTTGCAGCCTCTGCTGAGCAAGAGAGAGAGTCATGAAAAGTCTCTAGGGACAAGTCTCAGAGTACTTTCAAAGGCAAGCAGAAGGTAGTCCTGCTCTCACCACCCATCTGTTAATGCTCAGTCCATCCTTTGGTACCCACTGTGCTTTCCTGTAGAGAACCCGACGTGACAAAAGTCTATCTTTTTTCTAGAGCCAATGCTGAAATTGCACAAGTGAGAGGCAAAGCTCAGCAAGAGCAAGCAGCATATCAGGCCAGCCTTCGCAAAGAGCAGCTCAAAGTGGACGCATTGGAAAGAACACTGGAACAAAAGGTAAACAACAATTCAGCATTTTCACCCAGTTTGGGCAAATGAACCCATCTGCCAGGCTTTGATCTCAGCCACCAGCCACTGCTGGGGGCAGATTCAGACTCAGTCAAAGCTCAGCGTGCACCTGGGTATGAAGCAGGGTTGTGGTTTGCTTTGGTTCTGAGGTTTAAGGTCTTCCTGGTTTAGTTCTTCTTCCAGTTTTTGTTTCTATTTTTAGTTTTAGCTGTAATTCCATTGCTAGCTTACGTGCATCCCCTGTTAACAGACGAAACGACGAGATACAGATCTGTACGGCTTAGGGCAAAAGTGACTGTAGGAAATCGCTATTTATATTCTCTAGCTCAGCGAAGGAGCTTGCTTTCAGTATAGTACAGCTCATCCTTGCTTAGAGCCCCTGCAAAACAGAGTGAAAATACAAAAGTGCAGCCTAGAAACAAATTTATACTATGTATTATTACAACGTGCTAGGAGTGACTTCTATAAAGCTGTCTGCTTTAGTGCTAAGTGGGATTTGTTGAAGTTGGAGGAGCTGTATGCAGAAATAAGTAAGCATGTTGTTTAAATGCACTATATGTAGCTGTACTATGTATGCATATATATATCTCTATATATAGATACTCTGTTCTCAGTACTAGAGAAAATGTAATCGTCCCACACTTCTCCCAAAGGCTGGATAATTTAAAAAAAATACTCATCTTAATGCAACAGTATTTAATACTATTTATGTTGCCTTTTGTTTTCCAGAATAAAGAGATAGAAGAATTAACAAAGATTTGTGATGAACTGATTGCCAAAATGGGGAAAAGCTAACTTTTAACCAAATTTCTGGACTTCAATATTGAGTGCAATATGACCATTGGCACACTGATGTCCATACATTTATGTGGACAGGTTATATTTTCACTTTTTCGTATGCACTACTGTATTTTCTTTCTAAATAAAGTTGATTTAATTGTATGCAGTACTAAGATGACTATCAGAATTTCTTGCTATTGTTTGCATTTTCATAGTATAATTCATAGCAAGTTGATCTCAAAGTTCCTGTATCAGGGAGATTGTCAAGTTCTCTAAGAAATTACGAATTGCTGATCCTAGCCTTCCCTTTGTACATGAGTTCCCATGTTGGATGTCTTTTGGATTTAATATAAACATGTATTACTTGCATGGGGACTCTTGCCTTAAGGAGTGTAAACTTTATCTGCATTTGCTGATTTGTAAAATAAAATTTAAAATGAAAAAAAAAAAAAAAAGGAAATGCATGTCACTTAAATGAAATTCTCTATTGTAAATAAATTTTTTCGTTGAAAGTTGAAGATAAGTATGGCTCTATTTTATGTGCTTCACGTGCTTATTTCATGTGCAGCTCCGGATCCGGCAGCTTTTATTAAGCATCTCCTCCACAGAAAGCACTTTGTGTTTCACTGCTTGGTGATGGTCCTGGAGCACAACGTGGGTCATAATATTATTCTACTTACGTGCATGTACCTGTGTCTGTATGTTGCTTTCTCTATAAATACATATATGCTAGATTTGGACCACTCAGAAACCAAGCATGGGATAATCCTCCAGAATATTTAATAATCTGACCTTAATCCAGCACATCACGTAGGTAAAGGTGATGAGAACTGTTTGCGTGAGTTGGAGGCTGACATGCGACGATGGGATGGTGGGTTTTAAGCAAATCCATCACTGAAACGGGAATATATTTTCTTTTCCCCACTACTGGAAGAATTTGCTTGCAGGGTTTGTGGAGTGAAGTACATGTGATTAGAAGTACAACCAGAATAAGCTAGATAAGTAGCATTCTCGCACACCTCTTTATCCTGTAAATTATCCTCTGCAGAGGATTAGGTATGTAAGATAAGCATTAAGGCTTTAATAGCAAACAAACTGCTTTCTTTGGCTAATGGTGCATCTCTCGTTTCTCCATGATGTGGACAGTCTTCAGCCTGGTTCTCGTCAGCTCCCTTTTTGTACTCAAAAGTAAGTCAACTCCCTTTCCTTTCCTTTTTTTTTTTTTTAATTTATTTTTCATTTCCTACTTCAGGCATGGCTGAGTCTCTTTGATGTTCTGGGCTTCTCTCCTGGGTTTGATGGGTTTCAGATTATTTTGTGTATGTGGTTAGCAGCACAGAATGTCACCTCTGCTATGTAATGTAAAAATAAATGTGTATGCTAACAAATTTAAATATATTTTAAATAGATATCAAATTCATGCTTGCCTTTCAAAATACCATGTATTTTGAACCAAGGAAAAGAAGGAGGATCGGGTTATGGTTGTAATGTTTAAACAAAAGCAAAACTCTTAAGATAGACTGTTGTGACCTCTAGCTGAATTGATACTTTAGGAGAAAGTGAAATATGGATCATAGTAAGATTTTATGTGTTTACAATGTACTTTTTCATGATATTGTGGACAAAAGATCATGATAGGAGGGGAAAAACCACGATACTCCCAAGTTGTTATGGTGGACAGTTCTCTGAAAATGTTAAAGGAAAGCGTGGATGCAATTGCAGAACATCAGATATTCTTAGATTATTGTAAAAGCAAATTGTAAAAACATAATAATAAATGGCTTTAAAAAATATCTTTCAAATCAGTATCTGGGCCACTTCTAGAAAATAAAAATGTAGAGGATTTGCAGAAACTCTAGATACTTTTTAAACCTTTTTGCAATTTTTGCATGTGCTTCAAACAAAATTAGAAAGAGTGCATAGCTGATATAGTAAAATATTTTTTGTAAACTCCAGACACTACTGTTATAAGTGGTCCTTTTTTCCTTAATGCCAGGTGAAGCACTGCAGTGTTACACCTGTGTAGGCTCTAGTGATGAAGACTGTAACAGACAAGGAACTCAGCAATGTCCAGGGCACTCGGATGCATGTGCGGTCATTAGAGGACAAGCAAGTAAGTAGTCACAAAGAGTTCAGACTTGTCAGTGTGCTGTGATGATGAGCTGTGTCCACTCCATGTGAAAGCTCTAAAAAAGCATTTTAAGTGTTGCCCGCTTACTTAAATCTATCATTTTTTAAGCTAAATGATTTACCTGGAAATTAGGAAGGAGCGAGGCACTGCACTTGAGCATGTTCAGAGATATTTAAGGTGCACCAGTGGTATCTAAGATAAATTACAATTATTTAATTGTAATTATTTAACTTCAGTGGGAGCTTGTTAGTGTGCTGCAAACTGGTGCAATTGTATTTATTCACTTGTAAGGAATGGCCAGACCTAATGTTGCTGTTCAGTGTTGGATGGCCAGGCTCGCGCCAAGGGGATGTGGACGGGAGTGGGTGACCGTGAACGTGCAGGTCCGTTTGGGTTCAATGTGGCTCTCTTTTAGGTGGGGTTATGAAGTCCTGTTCGTTCAGGTCCTTCTGCGAGCGGGCAAGGAGGGACGGATCCAGAGCGCCCGGGGTGAGCGTTCACTGCTGCTACTCAAACAACTGCAATGCAAGAGGCCTGGCTTCCAGAGTCACCACCTCCGCCAGCTACTTCTCTCTCCTCGTCTTTACATTGCTGTGGCACCCGTTGTTGAAGCTGACATGAGGGTGGGGGGAAAAAAAAATAAGTGTATCATGAAGCAACAAGTCTGCCTTTATAGAAAGGGATAATTATATTTCCTAATTGCATTACTCTATGTACCATGTTTCTCAGTAGGCAAAAAGCAGTAGGCAGAGCTGACAGGTGTTCAGATAAAAGTTGGTCCATCTGCTAAATATATGTCTTGACCTATATGGAAGAAACGCTGCCCTCTTCTTATTTATCATACGGGGCTGATTGTGTGAATATGTAACATTTTCCTGCAATTCAGACAGTATGTATAAAGAGAAGGTGAAATCTTAGCTGCAAGTAGCCTTGTGAAGGACCAGATCTTCCAAATGTTGATTACTCTTGGCAAACATTCAAAAGCAAGCTAAAATTTTCAAGCACAAAAGTGACTGAAAATTCTAGCAAGTGAATTAGTCTTTCCGAGGACAAAGCCAGAAAACTTGAACTAAAGATGGTTTAGTTTTAATAGAAACTGTTAAGAGAAGGTCATTAAGAGAACAATGCGTGGAGGTATGTTATAGTGTATTACCTGGAAAAAAAAAGCCTTCCAGGCTTCTCTTTTCTGATCCTTTGAGAATCTTACCACAACACTGAAAGAAAAAGAACAAAAAAACAGCTTGGGACTTTTTTTGATCTGGTAAGATCCCTGGAGAGATCAGCTTGTTCTCTCTCTACTGCTGGTTTTCAGAACAAGTGGTTAGTCCCTGTCTTGTAGACAAATTATAATTTGAGTAATAACATTCTTCCTTATCCAAATTTTTCTTGCAGTTTCAGCTACATAGTTTTTCTTCACTGTCCTAAACTTCATTCTTTGAGAGTAAGAGTATATCTCTCCCCCTTCAAGTGATGTGATTTGGTTGGTCTGTGGTGGTTTATTCATCCTTTTCATTTTGAAAAGTCAATTAAATTACTTGGAGATCTTTAGAGCCATAAAGAACTGAAAAAACATCTGTAATAATCCCATTCATTGCAGTCTTACCATGTAAATTGTCCAGAATGGGCCACATCATAGAAGGTGTAGTGGGTCACTACTACGTCACTAGTGGGTAGGCAGATGGTCCTTTGGAATGATTATGTTGAAATTAGGCAAGATGAGAGAAATGATGTAACGCATTATGTCATAACACTAAGGTTCTTAGGTCTGTGTTATTGGAGGACAGGGTGGTACCTCCTTTGATTCAAAACTCACACAGAGAGCCAGATGAATGATATTTGTAGATTTTAATGTCCAATGTGATGATCTGGTCTTATCTCTGGCACACAACAGACATAGAACTGGCTTAAAGTCCAGCTGGTGTCACTGAAGTAGAGGTGGTCATTCTAGTTCTAGTTGCCCAGTTGGAAAAAGCTTTGGTCATCAAGTTTATGGAACTCACAAAATATGTGGCAAAGTAGTTTTTTTCCACTAGATTTGTGCTGTGACTTTTTTTCAGTGTAATTCTTTGAAAAATCAATTCCAGGCAGTATGTCATAGAATTCTGCACATTCACAAAAAATTTATTGCAAACTCTAGACAGCCTCTTTAGGTGAAATAATCACTGAAACCTCAAGCAGAGTATAACCCTAAACTGCCTTGTAGCTGTTGCCAGTCCAACGGACCAAACTGTCTCCTGGTTTTATTGTACTGTTTCCTCTGTCTGGATCATCTTGTGTAGATTCTGGCGTCAGACTGGGACTATATTCCAAGGCTCAGACAAGGTGGTTCTGGTCTATGCTCCCTGGCTAGCCACAAGTCTGATAAAGCTGTTAAATATGAAGGTTGCAACAATGCAACAGATCTTGTCTGGGAATGTTAATTTAGACTTAAATATCTGTGTAAAAATCACTTAATTTGGTTTAAGTATTTTTCATTTCACTCTCAGCTTGAATCAGTTCCTTCAATCTGTTCTGCTAAGGGAAATATGTATTGATTGTACCTTTATTTTCTGATTGTTCTGTAATGATAAATCTGTATTGAATGCAATCTCTGTATATGCTCAGTGCATTTCCTTAATGAGGAAATAAAACACATGCAATGGCTGACAACGTCTCTTGCTAAACAAAACTGCATCTTTTAATTGGGATTTCCAGTTGCATCCGGCAGTCTGTTTTCCAGCAGGAACTCTGGGGGATGTTATTTCTTAAATCTGTTAGATAAAATATTGAATGTTGATCGTTTTCTTACTGTGATATTTCCATTATAAAATAAGAAGGTAAGGCTCTATCCTCTTGACAAACACCATCTGTCGTTCCTGCCTGCAGCCAGGACTCAGATCTTCCGGCAGCTCCCAGCCTCCCGCCGCCTCCATTTGATTCTGCCACCCACCACGCGCTGTGTTTTGCTTTTTACAGGTTTGTCATTTTTCCTGCCTAATTATGAACCTGAAGGGTGCACACATGTATATATCTAGTATTTATGGATTGATATCGGAGGGGTTTCACAACGGCTCATGGTATAAACATTAACAGGGAGAGAAGCACTGAAAAAATAGAACAAAGTAGAAGGTATTTTTTTTTTTAAACTCCATTAAAACCGCAGAAAATATTTTAAAGTTTTCATTGCCATGACTGTGCAGAGCTATTCCAACCCATATGTAAAACAGAAAGTGATTGTCTTCGGTTTGGTTGTTCTGGAGTCTCGTCATTCCCGTCCAGTGCCGTACGTCTTCCTTAATGCCAACAGACAGTTGGGACAAAAGGAGCAGAAACCAATCATGAAATGCCTTCTGCAACTAAAAATGGTAGGACTTCTTTTTTGTCTGTTGTATCAGTTGGATCTATGT